TGCCCCATGTCCCCCTCGCCTCATCCCGCACCCCTTCTCCTGGAGATCGCCACCCTTCACCCGATCACCAAAATGGAACTGCGTGCGAAATTGCAGCAGCGAAGCGAATCGCATGCACTGAACACAAATTTTATAGGTAGAAAAAGTTAATCAAATCTACTTTTCGCTGTGTAATTAATTTCGAAAAGTATTAAAAAATATACGAGTCATAATAAATCAAATTCAAAAACCAACCACACCCAGTATAATATATAAATATAATTTTAGTCAGAAGCTGGAAAGTCTGTGAAGGAGTCATTTCCGACCCCATAAATCATATATATTCTTGCTCAGCGTCAATAGGGGCATCTTTTTTGCAATGTCTGACAAAAATTTAATTTTTTCAAAATTTTGAAAATTTTATAAGGGGTTACATCGTTAAAATTGTAAAAAATTGGCAAAAAATTGCATTTTATTAAACTTCAAATTGAATATGCAGATTTTTTAACATAACAAAAACTAACATTAGACAGCTTTCCGAACTGAAATTAATGCATTTTTGGCTCAGTTATGGCTTTAAACCATGATCTGTACCAAAAAAAATTGTCATAAAAATATAGATAATTATCGAACCAAAAATGGTATTATAATGTTAGTCAGAAGCTCTAAAGTCTGTGAAAGAGTCATTTCCGACCCTAGAAATTATATATATTCTTGATCAGCATCAACAGGAGAATCTTTTTAGCCATTTTCCGACAAAAATTTACATCGTTAAAATTTTCAAAAATTGGAAAAAATTTGGATCTTTTAAAATATTAATTTGAGTATGCAGATTTAATAACGTAATAAAAACTAAGATAGGACCGCTTTTCGAATTGAAATTAATGCATTTTTGGTTGAGTTATGATCGATCACAGTATCTGTAAATTACAATCTTTGGCTTTCCTCAAGGTAGTTTTTTAGAGCAAATTAACTCAAAAATAGAGCGACTAGCATTTGATTCCTCTTTAGGAATTATTAAATTAATTGTTTAAAGGTAATTTAAGGTTAAATTTTGTACATGTTTAAAAAGTGAATTTGTTTATAGTTCTAAATTTATATGTTTTTTTATTAATTTTTTTCAGTGCACCAATCAGCTTGAGTTGTGGCAGCCGAGACGTCGACGTCTCGACTCTTGCCTCCCGGTAGCAGGCAACGCTGACAGGCCGCCGGGTGACGTGCCAGCCATCGTCCACTGTCCACTGTCCGCTGTCCACAGTCCACTGACCATCGACCATTGGCCATCGCACATCGCACATCGCACATCCAGTTGGCCCGATCCCGATCACCACCGTCTCTGGGGCTCCATTCGGGGCCCGACTTCGGGGCCAGCATGGCAGGCAGTTCGTTTTCGGGGCAATTAATCAAGCTCCATAAATTAATGTAACCAGAAGTTAATTAACTTAAGTTTATTTGCACGGCTCTTGCTTAGAGGCGCACTCATCATTTGCACAGCGGCGTAATTTACCACAGCGCCGGGATTCCTGCTATTTAGCAGAAGGAATTTAGGTTTCTAGATATTGCAGCAAGTGTTAAAGTAGTAACCCGTATCTAGTCGAAGTATGCATATTTTTGTTCTTTAATCTGTCACAAAGCTTAGCTATAGATATATCCCATAGAATTACTCCCCAGGTTATGGATACCACGGCACCTTACAGCCTGCAAAAGGTGCTACCTCGGCAGCCTAATCCGTTTGGCAATTTGCCAGATTCCCCTAATGAGCAGCGAGTGCAGCGAGAAGTGTGTTAATTAAGTGCCTCAATGTGGCAGCTGTTGTGCGACTCTGATTCGGCATTCACTGGCATCAATCGATGGCGTGGTAGGGGCACAGGTGTCAGCTATCCTAGGCCCGAGTTCCAACAATTGCGACCCCATAATTTAGCCAATTGTCAGCGGTGAAACTTGGCTAACTCCGGTCGTTGCTGCCTGGGCCGCACCCATTAATTATTTTAAAGTAGTTGGCTGACGCGAGTAGTTGGCGCCGGATTTATTGACTGTGCCACAAAACTTTAAGCATTCAGAGCGCCTTACGGAAGGGGCCTCGAATGGGTTTTAATAGCAAATGTCGGCAATTTGTCGGCGGCGACAAAGCAAAATGGCTTTTAAATTGAGCCTCACTCATGTTCGGGGCGTGTCTAGCGCCCACATGCACTTATTGATTTTGTTCGGAGGGCGGGTCTGGATGGGGTCGAAGGTTAATTAGTTAATTGGGCAGGTGAACCCTCTGGCAGGAATCGGTGAAGGGGAGATAGAAAAGCCAGAAGATGCGTGTAAGGGGGAGGACTGCAAGTGGATGTCTAATTACAAGACATAAATAAGCAAGTAAAGCTATATTTACTATAGAATTTATTGCTTCACATATAACCCTATCTTCTAAGGATCTGAATGGTGAGTCACTCATCAAAACTCATTATCATTTCAGTGTCCAGAGTCGACCGATTTGAGATTTCTCCCTCAATTCATCAAGCGAAGCCTGCTCCAATTGCCACACCCTCTGGAACAGGGGTTATTGGAATGGAAACGACCCAGAGATTCATGGCTAACACACCTACAAAAGGCAGCTTCGTAACCTCTTCTCCAAAAGTAAGGGGCCTCCCTGAAAGAAGAGCGAACGGCGCCCGATTGGGTCCCCGAAAGCGTATTTTAATACAAATCGCTTGCCATTTATCTCCGGCTATTAATTTATAAATATAACTAAGTTGGTTTCTAAATAAAAACCGGAGAAATAAGCTCGCGTGCACCGAGTGGGCGTGTCTGAGGAGCGCGCCAAATGGGCGCTCATTAATTTCCACAAAATGAGGGAATATTCCCTCCAAAACCGAAGAACCGAAGAACCAGAGGAAATGCATCAAATTGAATTCGTTGACGTTGGCGTGCTCACAAAAATAAATAAATATTCGTGGCTAATTAATGTTAATTCTCACGAGGGCAGCCACACATAAATTTTCCACTCCGAGAAATGCACAATTATACAAAATTAACAAATCATTTGTGTGGCAATCTGTTAAAGACCGTATTGTTTATACTTCCTACACTTTACAACGGCTCCCTCTCGACATACACAGCATTTGCAATTTTACTAAAATGGCAATTATTAAAGTGTTTAATTAACATCGACAATGGGTACGGCTTGGCCAAATTTCTGGGGCGAATATTTAATACTCTGCTTTTGGCTTAAGCATCTTTTCATCTTCTAATATTAGCTTGGTGAAAAATATATATTATTTAGTATTTTTTCATTCTTAACTAGCGGAACTTAAGGTTCTAATTACTATCGAAAATGTCAGTCAAGAATAATGTCAGCTTTGAATAAATTTAGTTTCAAAGTACTTTTCCTTGGATTGAGTTCTCTCAACTGCCTTAGGGTACTCGCCACTTAATTAATGTTTATCCAAAAGTATTTGTTTACTTTTTCGCCGGGCCGATCATTAAATTGCAATTACGTAATGGCAAAACTGGCAGCAGTTCGGGGTGTCGTCATCAGCGTGCTGCTGGTGTGCATTTCCAATTAAAAAGGCATTAAAAAACGTGGTCCGATGCCTGAGAAATTGCAATTGGCATCGTGGCGGACAGCACCCATGCCCACCTGCCAGAGGAGGGACTTCATCCCGTCGGGAGATGGGATGGGATCACTGCTCCTGATCCTTTGGCTCCGGAGTCGATCAGCGTGTTATTTATGGCGGTGAGAAAATTAAGTTTTCCTGCTGGCTGACAAGGAACCAATTTGCCAATTGACGCCAGAGCCTCTCGGGCAACTCTTGAGCTTCGATTGCTATTTGGTATTTGGTATTTGCTATTTGCTATTTGCTATTTGCTATTTGTTATGTGCCATTGGGCATTTGGTACTTCTCGCTTTTGGCCCAGTCTTTCAATTAATTTTATGGGCCAACGAACAAGAGGCGCCACAGCCGAGACTGAGCTGAGAGCTGAGAAATCGCTGATTTACGACCTGGAAACGAAGGCGACTGGGGTCCAACACTTTGCAATTATTAAACGTAGAATTTTAAGTGCTGTTCCAAGTACTGCTGCCGTTATTGCCATTGCTGTCTGATACTGCGTCTCCATCGACCGCCCACGATGTGCGCCAAATGAGTTTTAAACTGCAATTCCGTTTACATTTGGCAAACTTTTTCCCATACAAATTGCCGCTAAATAGCTGAACAGCCCAAAGCCCTGCCTGACACAACATCGTCAATGCGCGACGCCTACGACGAAGCCAGCACGTTCGTTTCCCTCTTAACCCTCTAATGTATGGTCGAATAAATTCAACTTCACTTTTACTTCTTCTTTTCAATTGTAGTTCTAATATAGTTCACAAAAATGAAAACATTTGGAAGATATACGAAACATAGAGGGGAAAGGCTTTATAATAAAATATATAAAAAGTAGTATTTACTTTAATTTCATTTATTTGTTATTGCCTTGGAAAAATATAAGAAATTGTAGCTCTTTTATAAATGGCACATCAATGGGTTAATGTTGCTGCTGTGCCATTGTGGTGTTGCAGCTGCTGCTGCACTGCAGTAGTGTCAGGCCGTCAGACGCCCTGCCACCCTGCCGCCCCTTGCCCCTACCCTTCACCTGTCAAATTTGCAGTGCCTGGGGAACTAATGACGCCCTTAATATGCTCCAAGTGCCTTGCCTGAAAGCCATTTCCCTTTCGCTTTGTTTTCAAAGTCATCGCCAAGCCATCGCCACCGTCTTGCCTTCGTCATAGTCATCGCAATCATCGCGGCCGGCAGACACGCCAAAATCAAACTAAGGAAAGAAAGGGTTTGCCAGCGGAAAGCCTCCGAGGAAAATCCAGGTGGAAAGTCGATTTAACAATGCACTTCTTAGTGCCGCAGAAAGGGTTCGAAAGCTAATATTAACATTAAATATTTTTTATTATATTATTTATTAATAATTATTTGACAGGATAAATAGGACATAACGTCAATTGCGGAGAATTGAATTATGGTTAAGTTTTACGACTTTTAAAAAGTAAAGTCTATTGTTTTCTTTATTTTAATACCTATTCCTTCGAGTAATTTACCAGCGTTAAAATGCAATATGATTAAACCTAAGGAAGTGCGTTATTAATTATGTACTTAAATACTTTTCACTTGGCTTTTTTCCTGTTGACTGACATAACCAGCAACATGTTGACCGAATTCCTCTCCTGAGCTGCTGTCCAATGAAAATATTTGTAAAAAGGTTCGCTATCAGAGCAACAAACAAAGGGGGGACACCGGCACCGAATCCTCCTCCTCAAGATGCCACCCTCGAATGGCCACCGAGACTCGGCTAAATCTGAATCCTGAGCAGGTGTCGCGACTAGACAACTTCATTTTGTGGGTCGGGCCTATAGAGACACATAAATTTGCCGCCCATGAAGGAAACGCTGAAGACCGACTGATATATATAATTGCACGTGTGGGCAGGGGCCCCTTTTCCAGCTGCAATTAAGTAATTCTCACATCGTTTATGCAAAATACGAAATTTCCATTCACCCCCGTGATACATACACTATATACACCTCGATATGGTTCGGGTTCTGGTTCTGGTTCTGGTGATTGCTCGCGTGCAACCTCAACACCCTTTGCTTGTAGTCAAGTGGCCCATAAATTGTTGGCCAAGTTTTCACGGGGCCCGCCCACTTTTCGTTGCTTTGCTGCTTTGACAACGGCAATTACCTTGAACTTTTTTGCTGGGCCTCGGAAACCGAAAACCAAAACCGAGCCCAGTTAAAAAGAATTCTAAAAAATATATATTTACGAGTTTGTGGCATTTTTTCCTCGGCCTCGTATTTATTGTTATTTTTTTCGGCCAGATCTCTCATCCCGTTTTGTCAGTTTAATTTTTAGTTTAGTCCGCCGTTTCGCTTTAAATGAACCTCAAATTGCCGGGCCATTAGCTCCGGTTGCTCCACATGCATACTATGTACTAAGTATATACAAGCCCCGGGACATATCTGTACAGCAAACATACTTTATGGGCCATCGTTTGCATTTCGAATATCAATTTCGGAGTCGATGCAATCAATTTTGGCATTTTTAGCTCGCCGTTAGCAGCAGCTGCTGACATTTATTTCTGGCCGCCTTATGAGACCGAAATTCGTAATTGTTGATTGCAATTTTGGGGAGACGGCGAAGGAGTAGTTCCATCAACAACTCAATAAGGGAAAAGCCTTGTTAGCAGTACTATTTTGAAGCCCTTCTGTGCCGCCAAGGAGTGATTGCCGGTTAAGGTTTGACGGCTGATCGATATTTATTGTGGACACGTAATGAGTTTATCATGCAATGCCAGCGAGTTGCCGATAAATAGATGTCATATGTGTGGTTATATGGGGTATGTCCTGCTGTATCCAGGACGCTAGGTGCTATGAAGAGAGAGCTCCCTTGGGTTCCCTTCCCTATAAACCAGACACCTTCCTTCATTTCTTGTCATTCTTTTATTATTTATGCTTTAAATTACAAACAATATATAAATTAATCTATACAGTTGACAAATAATTTACAAGATATTCAAGGAACACAAAATAGCGACGTTGGAAGCTTGGCAAACTTAATCAGTTACTGCTTTTCCCGCTCGCGCTCACGGTCCCTGTCGCGGTCCCGATCCCGATCCCGATCCCGATCCCTTTCCCGCTCACGTTCCAGCTCCCTTAGGTAGAGGTGCTGCTGCTGCTGCAGGAAGTGTTGCTGTTGATGCTGTTGCTGCATCAGCTGCTGCTGTGGACTGAGGGCGACAGGGGACGCGGCACCCCCGCCGCCGTGCTGGAGGAACTGCTGCTGGTGCTGGGCCAGCTGCTGCTGGAATTGTTCCCGAAGTCGCTGATGCTCCTCCGCATCAATTTCGCTTCCATAGTCGTCCATGTCGATCACTTCGTCCTCGTCGTCGTCCTCCTCGATATCGTCGTCCTCCTCCGGATCTTCGGCGTCCTCGTAGCTGTGCGGCGACCCAGAGCCATCGTGCTTGCCGTCATCCTCGCCATCGCCTGCGCCTCCGCCCCCCGAGGAGCTGCCCTTATTGCTCTTGGTGTCGCTTCCATCGCCCTCCTGCTGCATCCGCTTGTGCTTGGTCCGGCGGTTTTGGAACCAAACCTTGACCTACCAAAATGGATTTAAAAGAAACAAATTATAGTTTTTAAAAAATGTATAGACCACTTTAATATTTGATTTCTAATGAGGTTCCTTCGATAAGAGCCCCCATTTAGTATCAATATATGTATTTCCCGAAGTGCACAATCAAGGAACCATCAAGTTTGGGGTAGTCTCTGGTCTCTAACCCTTCCGCCTAGCCTTTGTTTTTCTTTTTTCGGCAGGTCGTAAATAAGTTTAACGAGTCTTTTAATTCTATTTACGGCCTGCCTCCCAGCTATGCCCCCGGGGGTGCTCCGGAGTCAAGTGCTTTTCCCGTCCCATCCCTTAACATCCAGTGCCGCCCCTCGCGGCTCTAATAACTCAGTAACTCCGGCAGTTCTTGGGCTAACGACCAGACGACATGCAATCACTTAACCCTAACCCCGGGCACGGCAAAGGGTTTGAACGGGCCAACGGTGGCCAAGGGGTTGCTTATTGAATTTAATGCGCATTCAGAGAGCAACAGCAAGAGCCTGGGCCAGTGGCCCCCCATTCTGAGGAGCGTACATTTAAAAACATATAAGGATATAGTTTTTGTGGTGGAACCAAAGAGTAAATTAACTATAGCACAAATTCTGTTCAAATTAAGTTTAAAATTTAAGTTTTGCTAATATTGTGTCAAATTTCTGTGCTATATTTCATTATTAATTAGTTCTTAAAACTTCACATCACTACTTTTGCATGATTTCTTCCCCACAACTCACCTGCGTCTCGGTCAGACTGAGTCCTTGGGCCAACTGCTTGCGCTCAGCTCCCACCACGTAGTGGTTGCCCTCAAAGGCATGCTCCAGCTTGAGCAACTGCGTCGGGGAGAAGGCGGTGCGAACGCGTTTTGGTTTGCGAAATGGTTGGAACAGGAAATCTGCAAGAGATCGAATGTATTAGAGGAAGGAAGGATTTGTTTAATAAATAATTGTAGTATATTATATAAAATCTTAAAGGGCTCTTCTGTGTTCTGTGGAGCTTTAGAGCCAGGGTACCGATGCCCTCTCTCACTGCCAATTAGATGACGTTGCGTCTCAAATTGCTGATTATGAATTCCGCGAATGCCGCTGGACAAAGGATGCCGCACGGCACACTTGGCCCTCCTTGCCCCAGCCGCACACACCTCACCTCCACATGTTGCACAACACTCTCATTACAAAACAATAAACAAATTTCCAGACATGGGCCACCGGAGCGAACACAAAAGGCTTCTGGTTCGTGCCGCTGTCGGCGCTGTGTCCGGACCATGTCCCGGAATCGGAATCGGAATCGCTGATAAGGCCAAAACAATTGGCCAGCTTGGAGCTCAGCTCAGCTCTTGGCTCAGCTCAGCTGGCCCTCCTTTTTTCCCTGGACGCCAAGCCGAACACTTTAGCGCGCCTAAAAGCCGCCAACGACGCCTCTCTGGGAGGAGCAGCAGGAGCTGGCCATTGTTCTCCTCTCCATTTCAGCGGCACAACGTGATATTTTGACGTTTATCACGATTTCTGGGGAGGCCAGCTCCCTCCAGTTCCCCCAGCTTGCTCTCGGCCAACTCCAAGCTTCAGCTTCTGCTGTGCAAGTTAACAAATTTTGAATTGAGCCACAATTTGAATATTGATATGGGGCAGAAGCTACTGTGCGCGATGCAGCCGAGATTTCTGCAGGAGGAGAAGAGAAACTTCTTTGGATTTTAAGAGAATTGAGGGCTTCTTATATTATCGTTATGATTTTATATATTTGGCAAGTGCTAATCTACCAATTTATTACATTTTGTGCAGAATTTACTATTCCTTATAAATTCAATTTTATTCTAAATTCCTTATTATTATTAAGGAAACAATATTATTACAGGATCAGCTTGGAATATTGAATTTTTCATTTTATTCTTCATTATCGAAATCTCCTCCTAAGAAAACCTTGCTGTATTTCAAATTTATGAATTTCTTGTACCCGATATGACTTTTTGTCAATAGAAATACAATCCATATCCAATCGTTGCTCTGTAAGTTTTGTTTTTACAAGACACCTTTAATCCCAGTGCGAAACCTGATCCCCAGCTCAGTGTTCTTCGCCTAACCAGACTTGTTGTGATATCATTTAGCTACAAGGTGTGCCAATTACTAAATAAATATTGACGTAGCAGGATCGAATTTGGAGGCAGGAAGTCCCGAGTCCGTACAGCACACAAAACAGTGGCTAAGCCCCTGGGAAAATAAACAGCTAATGAACAGAAGGGAAAGGGCGCGAATCTATTAGACACAAGGCCGGAATGTATCTTGTATCTTGCAACTCGTGCATTGTATCTTGTTAGCGCAGAACAAAGGACCCAGCCGGAGGGACACCAGAACTTGTCAGTTCGACACTTCATAAATGCATCCTCGAGCCATTGATGGCCGATGGGCCTGAGTATCTGACAGATGCGACTGCCTGACTGCTGGATTCTGGATGCTGGATGCTGGATGCTGCGGCCTGGCTCCGTTGTGCGTGCCTGGGTTTTGCTATGTATAAACTTGACAAACGATTGCCGGAGGAAGCGAGCCACTGCAGCCCGAAGAGTGCTCTAGTTTCTGTTTCTTTTTTACGAATCGCATGACATTTGTTACATTTGACAGCTAACAATGTAGCTACAAGATACACGACTGCCCAGCGCCTTAGAAGTGCCACTATATTGGTGTCTTCCGTACACAGCGGGAAATTTTGTATGGATCTAAATAGAAAATGAATGTGTGAAAGTGTGTGGAATTCATGACTGATGCTGATTGATATAGAGTTTCATGATCTATTATTAATCTTCAGTTCCAAAAACGAAGCAATGCACTATATTTTAATGCCAGAACTACCGAGGTGTCCTGGCAGAATTCCTATTTTCTTTTCGTGTATCTCCATAATTGATAATGCCGCCGCTCTCACAATGGTCACTTAATTATTTTTTTCTTCTAGCTCCGGCAGCATCTTTCAATGAAGTGTGTGCTGTTTTTTAGGTGCGGACACAAAGGAAACCGCCGTGCGAAAATACGCGCAATTGACAATTAATTGATGTGTCCGCTCTGGGCTGCCGGCCGTGTCTGTTGCTGCTCGCAACTCCTGCTCACACCCTTGTCAGCTGTCATTTTTATATATGTACTTTATTTTTGTGTTTTTTAGCCCCTGATGGATCAACGCGATAGTAGCATTCGTTTCGTTTTCGTTTGTCCGACTGACTGTCCTGATCTTTTTGTCCCCTTATTATTTATCACTTACGTTTGTGTTAACGCTCTGTGCAATTGTGATTGTTTGCTTTTTTATGGAGTTAGGGTCTAATTCTTATGCTCTCATGATTTTTTCATTAATTTATTGCATTCCGCGAGGACGTTGGCCCGAAATCGATAATTGAAATCAAACGCCATGACAGGCCATCCAGTCGATGGGAATCGCCATTTGCAGTTGGGATATGTGAATAGGGTTTCTTTATGGGCTTTGCGAAGAAGATGACTCTATTTTCAAGGGGTTGTATCTTTTTTTAACTGGGGTGGGTAATGTAATGTAATCTAGTTAAAGTCTACCACTGCGAAAAAAAGGGGTTTAATTTATGAAAAACAAAGTTAATTATGTCACGGAAGGCTTACAAAAAATATCTAACTTCGGCTTGCCAAAGTTTCCATTGCAGTTCGCAATGGAATTATAATTAAGCTTCAAATACTGGCATTCTTTTAATAGATATTTATCCATATTTTTATATGCGAATGTGTTCGGCAAATCAAAATTTAAAAAACTAAAAACTGGTTTTTATTAGGTTAATAAATCTACGTACTCAAATGCAAAGATCCATATTTTTTCCAATTTTTTTCTCCAATTTTAACGATGTAACCGCTTATAAAATTTTGAAAATTTTGAAAAAATTTAATTTTTGTTGGGCATGGCTAAAAAGATGTGCCTGTCGATGCTGATCAAGAATATATACGATTTATAGGGTCGGAAATGACTCCTTCATTGACTTCTGACTAACATTATAAGACCATTCTTTGGGTCGACAAACTTTGCTACAAATCAATGCTCAAAAACTCATAAGTGAGCCAAAAAAGCATTAATCTTAATTCGGAAAGCATTCCTATGTTAGTTTTTGTAAAGGTAATAAATCTGCATACTCAGATTATAATTTTAGAAAATTCACATTTTTGTCAATTTTCGTCAATTTTAACGATGTAACCCCTTATAAAATTTTTAAGATTTTTAAAAAACTTAAATTTTTATCGGGAATGGCTAAAAAGATTCGCCTGTCGATGCTGATCAAGAATATATAGGGTCGGAAATGACTTGAAATTATAATACCCTTGACAGGGTCTATTTGTATTCAATTTTACTTTTATTCGATATTGTTAGATATAATTATGATTGAGGAAAAGCATTATATCAAAACTGCAATCTGTAATTACGCTTTGGTCATCCAAAATTGATGTTCCAGGATTCTAACCCTTTTTTTAACTTCATTAGAAGGGAAACGCCCAAAAATAATAGCAGCACGTGCAGCCTGAATTGAGTTACTGACGCATCATCATCTGTCTCCGGATCGCTATCCCCAAGCCCAAGTTACCTGGCGTTACTCATGCACGGGTTACAAGACAAACAAAGAAGAAAACATTTACAATTAATGAAATCGTTATGCGAAACATTGACATTTCACGTTCATAAATCAAGCGAAAATTACGGGCAGAAAGTGAGAGAAAACGCAGAAGCCGCGCGGGAATTGGGGAAAAAGGGAGAAAATAATGAAACAGCATACAACATAATTAAGGCGTAACGGGGAAATGTACACTTCAGCAGGTGAAAGGCGGCGGCTTGTGTGAGTGTGCCGAAAATTATTTTCATTTAACAGCCTAAAAAACTCAACATGAAACAACTACACAAAAAAACATGGCAGAGTGCGGGAAATAACATGGCATGAAAATTCAAATGGTAATTATGAGAGGAGCGTACGAAAAAAATAAAAATGGTTCTAAAGAGTAATAAATGACATTGTTTCTGAGATGCACTTTGCGGTTGCTTTTCATATTCTATCTCTGCGTTTTTTCACTTCGTTCTTGGGTTCTTTGCTTGGTTGCCCCAAAACCTCAATTAAAATCGCATTAACATTTCACTCGTTGCACTCTTTAGTGTATACAGATAGAGAAAATTATAGTGAAACCATATTTAAATCTGTACTTTTTCTTAAAATGTCAGAAGAATGAGAAGTATGTCTCGATTCCTGTAGCTTTCTCGAGAAAGTGCTTACTTTTCTATGCAAAATTAGAATATAAGAACTATAAACTCTTGATACGTTTAATTAAAAATGTTGTAAATTGTATCTTTCGAAATTTTTTATTATGTATCGAACACACAGTCATGTCTTTCTTCAAGTGCTGCTGTTGCAGTGTATCCGTTACACATACGCCGCATGGGCCCGGCAACTGGCGCCGTCTGTTGGCCATTAATGGTGATTCCGACTCCGCAACGCACACTCACACACACTCACACTCACACACACGCACACTCACACACTTGACTGGCCATTTAGGTACGCTGCTTCACCTAACGATGTGTGTAATGTTGTTTAAACAATTTAATTAAAATGTAATTTGTTTGGAAATAGTTATCACAATGGGTTTGGTTGGGCTCAGATGGGACTGCCTTTCTCCCGACCGACTGTCGCCGGGCCTGTCCCCTCTGCTGCTGATGATGATGAGGCCGATACACGTCTAATTAACTTGTAATAAATGTTTGCCATTTGCTTATTTAACTTTAATTATATACAAGAGCGGCAACAGCAGCGATAACTGAATAATTGCTTGATTGAGGTTCTCTTCTACATATAATGGCGGCGGGAGAATCGGATCGGATCGCGGCAAAAGGGGTTCGAATATGAGCTTTGGGAGTGGTTTC